AAGCTTGCTAAGTGTTACAGGGCTGTTAGAGTTTGGGCTAGACAAGTCTTGCCTTTTCACTTGAAAGTGGTATAATCATCATACATGAGGTACAACTGTCGAGTTAGAGTTGTGGATTCCTATTTGGAGCAAGAGATAAAACAAAAGAAACAGGCTAAATAATTGAAAGCTTTAATTTCCACATTTTAAAATTTGGAGTTTATCCTAATAGCGATGGAGAGCCAATATAATTTGGGAGTGACCTGAATGTTAGGATTTTTATTTTATTTTCAATATCAGATTGGCATTAGAAATGGCCCCCTGTGTTTTATTCACTTTCATTGTCTTAAAACTTAAATAATTGAAGGTGGGCTGAAGTTAGAAGATACCCAGTGATAACAGTAGTAAGCAGAATTCTCTTTGGAACCAAAATATCCCACACGTAATTCTTTAAGAACAGAGTATACTGATTAGTATTGATTACCATTCCAAAGGAAAATAGTATATTTTCAACTGAATTGGCTTAGCACTTTAGGGTTATATACTTAAAGTACTTTTTGATTTATTATTTTTTTATTATGGAAAACTTCAAACATACATAAAGTAGAGAAAATATAATGAGTTTTAACCTGATACCCAGTTCCACTGCTTTCCATGGAGCTTCAGTGTTTGAGTCAAATTGGACAACGTTAGTAAGCTAGAAATGTAGTATATTGTTAAGGTGAATATGACCTTTACCATCTAGGAAAGTATTTTGTTAAACCCAGATGTGGCACTTAGCAATAAAATTATGTATGACAATTGAAAATTATGAAAGATTTTTTTTCCCCTAGAGACAATTGCTTTTGATTTTTTCCTCCACAGTTTATCTTTCCAGGGTTTTTGTTTGTATTTAGGGTATTGTCTTCCAATGTGAAAGTTATAGTAAAACTGATAGATTTTTTCCTTCCTAGCTTCTTGGTTTTATGTACTATTAAGAAAAGTCTTCAGCTGGTTTGGCTCAGTGGATAGAGCGTCGGCCTATGGACTGAAGGGTCCCGGGTTCGATTCCACTCAGGGTTCGATACCCAGGTTGCAGGATCGATCCCCAGTAGGGGGTGTACAGGAGGCAGCCGATCGATGATTTTCTCTCATCATTAATTTCTCTCCCTCTCCCTCTCTGAAATAAATAAATAAATAAATAAAAAGAAAAGTCTTCTCCAACTCCAAGATTGTAAAATTATACATTAGTAGTTTCTTCAAATACTCTATAGTTTTGTATTTTAATTTTAAAACAAAAAAATTTTAAATCTAAATAAATTTTGAAAAAGCAAAAAAATAAAACTAAATTAGAGTAAGGGGTATAGTAGGGATCCAGATTTACCTTTTCCTAAACACCATTTATTGATTAACTCATATTTTCTCCCATGATGTTGGGATGCCATAATCATAAGCTAATTTTCCATGTGTGCTTGAACTCTCCTTTATGCTAAGGCTTTCCCACATGGTTTCCTGATCTTGAATAGTTAATCCCACTCTAGTCACCACTCAGTCTCTTCTCTGATTGATAACCCTACTGCCAGGCCCTTTCTCTGCTAGCCCCAAACCATGTGCTAGCAGGAGCCACGGACGTCAAGTACTTTGAATGCCTAAGAAAGAGCCTCAGAGGCTTCACTATAGTAAGTTTTACCAACCCTTTCATATATAAAGTTTTGATTAGGTAAATTGAAATATTTTCTTTCCAGTAGAGCCATTTAACAAACTTTTTGCTTTTCTGGTTCAAAATTGCCTTATCCAATGAAGTATGGTCTGGAGCTAAAAGGTCTGGCTTTGAATTTCTCATCAGCCATTTACTATCATTGTGCCCTTGGAAAACTTACTAAAATTTTTTTCCACCTCCTGGAATTATTGTGGGAGTTAAATAGATAAATATATGTCCGGTGTCTAGAATAAGTGGCACGTATTGAGCATTCAATAAGTGTTAGTTGTTATTACTATATTACATCACAGAACTATGAAGAATAGGTACTTAAATACTGATTTGTATATTTTTGTTTGTTTTAAAGGGGACAATTCATCTCTTTCGAAAACCACAAAGATCTTTTTTTGGGAAGTTATTACAGGAGTTTGGACTTGTAGCAGCTGACAGAAGGGTAAGTTATTTTTATTCCTTAACCTAATTTTAATATTTGCACAAACATGACATTGAAAAAAAAAGGTAATTTTTAAGGCAAATAGAAATCTCTTAATCCCACCACAACCCGGGCATATGCCCTGACTGGGAATGGAACCATTATCTCCTGTTTCATAGGTCAACATTCAACCACTGAGCCCGCCAGCTGGGCATATCTGCTTAATTTTAATATCTCCAAATAACTGCCTTCTCACTAATTTCTTACAACTCTACTTTCAAATAATCATACGTCTCCTTTCCTTGTAGGGAGTGGAGTAGGACAAAAATGAAAAACACTTCACTTGATCTCTTCTTTTTTTATTTTTAGAATGCCCTTCTTCCTCTAATTAATTCCTAGCTATTTTCAAGGTGTATATCAGGTCCTCTCTCTTCTATGAACTTCCAAACTGTGATAATCTTTCCCCCTTATGTGGTCCTACTGCATATAACTTATTGGGAAATAACTAAGTACTGCCCTTTGGGGAGGGGTGGGTAACTTTATTTTGATATAATTTCAAAGTTACAAAATTAGTATAAGAAATTCCCTTATGCCCTGTACTCAGATTCACAACTGCTTACATTTTTGCTCCATTTGCTCTATCACTGTCTTTATGTACATTTTTTATGGAAACAAAATGATACTTGAGTTTATGTGTCAGAATTTATGTATGTATGTATGTTTGTATTTATGAATTTACTAGAGGCCCAGTGCACAAAATTCGTGCACAGGTAGGGTCCCTAGGCCTGGCCAGCGATCAGGGCTGATGGGGAACTTCCAGCTGCCAGCCAGGGCCTTCCTTTCCACGCCGCCCCCTGGTGGTCAGTGCATATCATAGTGAGCTGTCAAACTCCCTGTCGGTCAAACTCCTGAGGGGACAATTTGCACATTAGCCTTTTATTATATAGGATTTTATTTTTGTTAATTTTCACCCGAAGATATTTTTTCCATTGGTTCTTATAGAGAGGGGGGAGAGACACAGAGAGAGAAACATCAATGTGAGAGAGACACATTGATTGGCTATCTCCTGCACTCACCCTGACTGGGGTCAGGGATCGAGCCTGCAACCGAGGTACATGCCCTTGACCAAAATCGAACCTGGCACCCTTTAGTCCACAGTCCTACGTTCTATCCACTGAGTCAAACTGGCTAGGGTTCAGAATTTATTTTTTTCATGAGTAATTCCCCTTTTGGAATTATTCTTTTACATTTATATGTTATAATATATACAACTTGGTTAATGATAATTTTGATAAATTTAGAAAATGTGACACTGACATTTGAAGTAAGTTGCACTTATTCCTTTGAATATTAAAAGTATGAACTATAGCAACTTGAACAGATTTGGTGAAATTTATCAGCAGTATGCAAATAAGAATGGTTTTCTTTTTCACAGTCCTGGAAGATATTGCTGTTTGGTGCAATAAACTTAACTTGTACTGGCTTCCTGCTTATGTGGTGCAGTTCCACTAATAGTATAGGTATGTCACCAATCTTACTTTTATTGTGTTAATCATTAGTTTTCACTTTTGTTCTTTTATTTATTTATTTATTTTTATTGATTTCAGAGAGGAAGGGGGAGAGAGAGAGATAGAAATGTCAACCATGAGAGAGAATCATTGATCAGCTGCCTCCTACACACATACCTGCCCTCCCTCAGTGGGGATCAAGCCTGCAACCCAGGCCCTAACCAGGAATCGAATCGTGACCTGATTCATAGATTGACGCTCAACCACTGAGCAACACTGACCGGGCCACTTTTATTATTCTGATTTTTAAAATTGATTTGTGAGAGAGAGGAAGGGAAATAGAGAGAGAAACATCAATTTATTGTTCCACTTATATGTTCCCTGATCAGGGATAGAACCCACAACCTTGGCATGTCAGGATGATGCTGTAACTAATTGAGCTACCCAGCCAGGACTTATGATTCTGATTTTTAGTAAAGGTACAGCTTCCTTTATCTAGAATATATTATTCTGAAATATAACTAAAAAAATTTAAATGGGAAAAATCTATATGAAAATTGCCTTGAAAACTATTGTTTTGCTCCATTGTTAGGCATTATCTTTTGGAATGAGCTATATTTTTTTAAATACTTTAAATCTATTTGAAAAATTAAGATTCTTTCTTATTGTGATATATTAGTACTTTGGTCTATGCAGTTTATAAGTAGAATTTTGAGACTTATTGGATTTTTTTTGAAAGAAGAAACATGTAATTTGTTTATTGTGTCTTGACCTCTTATATTTTTATGTACCATGCTTTTTCATCCTGCTACTCAAAGAATATATTTTAATATATTAGATCAAGTGCTTCAGATGACAGAAGAAGGCAAAAAAATGTGCTCACAGGTCTTTTGAGCATATACTGCTTTATTTAGAATTTAACTTCTAAAGGAGCTTTTGTACTACGATGCTCTATCCAGTGAGCCAAACCGGCTAGGGCTCTAAAGGAGCTTTTGTACTGACTTTGACTACATATATTAATCAAATTTACTAAATAAATGGCAAATTATTCAGTTAATGAATGACTCAAATTTTTATGGTGCAGGGAGGTAATGAACAATTTCTGTGATTTGCTATATTTCTTAACCATGGATTCAGTAACGTTTTAATTGTTTTGCAGCTTTAACTGCCTATACTTACCTGACCATTTTTGATCTATTTAGGTAAGTTTTTAAAAATCTACTAATAGTTTGAAGCTAATAAATAATTTGTCACACTGTTTTCTTTGTTTAAAGAAAAGTAATCTGTGAAATAAGTAAAATTATCAATATAGAACATATATACAAAAATAAATTAGCATAAATACTGGAAGAAAATATCCCATTTACATAGCAACAGAAAAGATAATATCCTGGCATTAGCTCAGGTGCTTCAGTGCCTACCTGTGGGTGAGTCAGCTGTGGCTAGGGAGCAGGGTCACATAAGAACATATTAGGTCCCACTGTAACTGTATATGGAGAAACAAATACGGGGCATTAGTAGCTAAGAAGTGAGTAATTATGAGCTAAAGAGACAATCTATTGGCTCCATGGGGCTTTTCATATTTCCATATAAGTGTTGCGAAATACTTTTATATCTTCAAGATCCATGCCATACAAATATGTCATAAGGGTGTCTTTACATTAATCACATAATTAAGTCCACTTGATTGGTCTAAAACCATCTGAATTGAATTACCTGAAATTTACATGTAGTAAGTTGTTTTAGAGTGAATCTCCACTACACTTAGAAAATGATCATTTTGTCCCATACAGAATGTTGTTAAGGTGTTGTTAATATTAGGTTACATTTTATCAAAGATTAAATAAAGTTTATAAAAGTTAAGATTTATTGTATATGCCTAGAATGAAATACATTACTATTATTATTACTGTGTCATTTTTTGAATGCTCAGTTATGGAAACTATTTAGGGTGGATAAGTTATTGAGCAGAGAAGGTATGGATTTAGGTTCTGTTTAACCAACTTGATGATGTATCATCCTCTTTCAGTTTCTCCACATGTTAAAACTGCCATGTATTAGGATGCTCATTGTGAATAGATTATAACTTATTAAATAAGTTAATTTAGTCTGTATAAATAGTGATAAATTTCAGTAATTTAGTAATTCTGAAAACTTAATTTCTTCCTGCATATTCTCTTCTAGTTGTAGATCTAACACTAAATTTATTTTTCTTTTTACTTAGTTTAATGACATGTTTAATAAGTTACTGGGTAATGATGAGGAAACCCAGCCCTGTCTATTCATTTGGGTAAGTTCAAATTATTTTATTTTCTGCTAACTTATTGCTATTAAAATAGTAGTTATATCTATAATAAGAAAAGCTCTATAATAATAAAAGTGTAATATGCTAATTAGACCCGACAGCCGAACAGCAGAACGACCGTCCAGACAACCTTCCGGATGAAGCCGGGCTGCGGTGGCTGTGAGGGTGGAGGCAGCCGGGGCTGGGAGAGCTGAGCCCCTTGCATGAATTTTATGCATCTGGCCTCTAGTTAGTCAATAAAGGGCTAGCTACACTAGTTCTAGAAAATAAATGCTGCCTGCATAGTGGAATAATCAAATAGTGAAAGTAGATAGAAAAAGGTCTTGCAAGTGAATTCTAGCTAAGAAACATGAATATTTAAATTTGTCATATTAAAATGTTCACATTATGTTATTTTCTATTTTATAAAACAAATATAGAATTTTCAAATTAAGTTCTTTAGTTTTGGGGAATCTCATTTTATTTTATTTATTAAATATATTTTTATTGATTTCAGAGAGGAAGGGAGAGAGGGATAGAAACATCAATGATGAGAGAGAATCATTGATTGACTGCCTCCTGCATGCCCCCCACTGGGAATTGAGCCTGCAACCTGGGCATGT